CCATCCCATTCCCCACCCCCCCCCAACCCCCTAATTGTTTTTTGTAATTTCTAATTAAATTTTTTTTTGTTTTTTCTGCCCTCCTTCCGTGGAAAAAATATTTTTTATATTTATATTTTCAGTAATAACTACGGATTCAACTGAACCCATAACTTTCGACGCGGAGTAAAAATTTGTATGTAAAATTTTATTAAAATTATAAAAAAAAATAGATATAAACCCATAACTTTAAAAATATAATGGGTTCAATGTTAAAAATATTAAAATTGAATCCATAGGATTTAAATTCTAGATCCGCCTCTACGTTGAGAGTATGAAATTTGGCTGAAAAAATATTCCTCGCGCGCCTAAAGGGTGAGGCAAATCACACACTAAATCTAGTAAGCTTTTGTGTTAAAGTGGAACACAAAAATTGAGGTTGGAGGGCCAAAATGGAACAAGAGTTAGTTAGAGTGCCAAAATGAAAAATTGGGCCAAGTTTAATGGGCTCTATATGTATTTGGCATTTTTTTTTGCTTCTTTGATATTGTACATGTCAATGTATATGGAATGTTGGAATTTTTACCTCATATAGCAAAGGTTAACACCTTATTATTTTAAATAAATGTCATTTAAAAAAACTATATTCTATAGATACCTTTTAATGTTTATAGCAAAATATCTAATTTTGGTTACCTCCTACCCCTAAGCCACTAAATACGCTATTCAGTTACACTATTTTCTTTCTCTCTCCACTTTAATACATGCCATTCTCTTCCCCATTCCCTGAAAACACGATGCTCAATCTCAAAATTCCTCTCACCCACATCACCTACCATTAATCACAAACGGTAATTTTACCTGGTATACCACGAAGACTTCTCTGACGGACCAACTCCGGAAGACGGATAATTCGTGCTTGGATTGTAAACTCTCTGGTAATGGGGACGCCTTTGCTGTTGGTGATTTCCATAATAATTGGGTGAGGAATTTCGTGTGTGATTATGGGAAATTGGGAAGAACGATGAGTTTGCAGAGTACTCATAGTTTCTTTGATGGAGAAATAAACGAACAAAGTTGTGGATGTTCTTTGAGTTCTTGAAAACAAACAAAGAGCAGCAGAAACTAATGTAATGAGAGCCGGAAATTAGGGTTTGTTCTTGAACAAAGACGACGGAGTTTGAGGCTGAGCAACTTGATTTTCTGTTAATATATTTCAATGTATTTTCAACGTATCACGGTGTATTTTCATGTATTTCATTATTTTCATTGTCTTTTTTTCATTGTAATTCAATGTATCTCGCTGTATTCTATGTATTTCATTGTATTCACTGTCTTTTTTTCATTGTATTTCAATGTATCCCGCTGTATTCCATGTATTTCATTGTATTCACTGTCTCGCTATATGCCATGAATGTATTCATATATTTTTTTTAATTAATATAATTTATGTATTCAGATGTATTATATAATTTCTCTGAAGATTGCTATGTTTTTGGGGTATTTTTCAATTGAGAATTTTTTTTATAACTGGAAATACAAAATTTGTGTGTTATAATTGAGTTTGTTGAGTTATATTAGAAGTCTATTATGTTAATTGATTCACTTTCCGTTTAAAAACAGTGTAACCCCCTGTTTTACGCCGTGAATACAGTCGAATACAATAATCTGTCCAGCTGTAATCCCATGTTTCACGCCATGAATACAGTCGAATACACTCGAATACAACAACTGATTAGCTGGACTTCCCTCACGCCTATTTTTGCTACTGTATTCATGAATACAGTAGCTTAAATACATCTAATACATCTTATAAAAACAGAAAACGTATCTACAATCCGTAATATAGCAAATGTTATCTATAGATAGTTAATTACCACTAAATGATAGTGCTTTATGAAAATTTTTCTAGAAGGTTTTCTGGCCTTTTAAT